GGTCAAATTTTTAAAATGAAATAAATGAATGAATAAATAAAGTTAAAATAAAATAATTCTTTAAAAAAAAAAAACACCTCTAACAAAACAAAAAACAAAACAAAAACAAGTGGGACCAGCAAATGATGTGATGGTTACGTCACTGGACTCCCATGTAGTCAACTGTGGTTCAAGTCTCAGACCCAGCAGCTTCGAACTCATGCCGGGTACATGGACATGCCCAAGATCCTGAGATGAGAATGGAGGAGAAGAGATTGTAGCATGGCCCTGGGGGGGGGAGTCTCACTTTCTGTTTCTCTGTCTCTCCAGCCAGTGTACACACCCTATAGCAAAAATCACTCTAAAAAATAATAAAAGGCCGGTCCGAAGGTAGTGAGTGATCTCAAATGAGTGTTAAAGCCAGTAACAGGTCGGACTCCTGGGGCCAGCAGTTAGCGTAATGGCTATGTCGCTGGACTCCCACATAGTCAATCGTGGTTCAAGTCCTGGACCCGGTGGCTTAAACTCACGCCAAGTGCGTGCGTGCCCAAGATCCCAAGAGGAGAATGGAGGAGAAGGGATTGCGGCGTGGCCATCCCCTATGGGGGGTGATTTCTCGCTTTCTATCTTTGTTTCTGTCTGTCTGGCGAGCGCATGTGCCCTATAGCAAAAACCTCTCCAAAAAAAAAGAAAGACAAAGAAAAAAATAATAAAATAAAAATAAAAAACAAAAGGAAAAAGAGCTGCGCTGGAAGTGCACACAGGGCAGGTGCTGCAAGGCCACTGGTTTTCGCATGGTATGGGGTATGGACAGTAGTATGGGCAGAGGGCCCAGGCCATCCCAGGCTCTGGGAACTACTGGTGAGTAATTTGCCACCTTCTGTTCAAGGTGTCAACTCTATTTTCTGTGTTGCCAGGGATCAGGCAGGCCCTGGTCTGCAGCTCATCAACCATTAGTGAGCTGAGGCCACCTGGCCGTAAGGTTGGGGCAGCAGGGACTTGTGACCTGCACAGGGCCTGAAGACAAGACCTCTGCCACCATCAGGGCCCGAGGCCGCGCCCAGTGGAAGAAGGAAGACCTGTACCAAATACCCAAAGAAGCGGGGCCCTTCCACCTCCCTGTGCCTGCGTTGTCACCCACACCTCATTCCTAGGGTGGGCAGCCTAGTGTCAGGAGAGAGGAGAGCTGGGAGACGCCCTGGGAGCCCCTCTGAAAGCAGGGCTGCTCCTACCCCACTCAGGTAAAAGAAGAGTCCCAGGGCCGGGGCTGGGCTGGGGCAGAGTTGGGGCAGAGAGGACCCAGAAAGCTGCTGCCACTCTGCTCAGGGGTCTCAGGCACAGCTGGCCTCAGAGTGCCTGTGGAGGCGGAGCCCCAAGTTTGTTGTGTGTAAACACCGCTATGAGTGTGCACACGTGTGTGAGGGGCATGAGCATGCGCCCAGGAAACTATGCACTTGGGCAGGTGTGTGCTTGTGGGCCCGTGTGCAAACAGGTGTGTGAGCACATGCGTGTGCACATGTGAGCTGGACATGAGTGCTGAATTGGGATAAGTGACTTGTCAGGGCCCTGGACATCCCCCACGTGCCCCTCCGTCTCCCCTCCCCCTTCATAAATCAAGGTGGACAGCACCAAGACTCACTCCGAGGCGGAGGGACCCAAGACTGATGTGGACACCCAGTTCCCCGGGCTCCCCTTCCCTGACCGCCAGCTACAGGTGTCACTGCCCCAGACTCTGGTCAGAGCAGAGCCCAGAGGCCGTCCGGGAGGAAGTGATCCACTCTGTTTTCTGGAGGAGGGCGGCGCGCATTCCTGAGCCCTGAGTCAGCGCGGCCGCCCCCTCTGGCCCGGCCCGCCTCCGGCGCGCACGCCCCTCGCTCCTCGGCTTTCCCAGGCGGGCCGGGGCGGGGACTAGCGCGAGCCCTCGGGTCCGGCGGCCGCGGGCCCCCCGCGCGCGGCCCCCCCCCCCCC